GAAAGCCAGGTGATGACTTCATGGGCCACATCCAGTCACTGGGTGTGTCTGGATTGCTCACAAGACCCTTCTGGCAAGACTAATTTCTTGGGTCCACGTGCGCAAATCAGGTATGACATCATGGGCCACATCCAGTCATTGGGTGTGTCTGGCTTGCTCACAAGACCCTCCTGGCAAGACTACTTTCTTGGGTCCACGTGCGCAAATCAGGTACTAGCAGAGAAATCGGGGAGGGAATCCGGACAGCGATCTTTCTCCCATTTTAGTCTGATCAGTTTTTTTTTATACATCCTTACCAGCGTGGCTTCCTGTTGTATTTTCTCGTGTTTTGGATCCCCAATGATTGGCAGTCCCTTGGACTCCCTTTGAGCGGCTGTGGCAGCAGAAATGCAGATGCAGACACTGGAGAGGAAATGACAATGACTAAGAGAGAATGGTGATGTCTCTGCTTTTAAAAAAAAATCAGAGGCATCACCTTGCTGACAAAGGTCCGCATAGTCAAAGCTGTGGTTTTTCCAGTAGCGATGTATGGAAGTGAGAGCTGGACCATAAAGAAGGCTGACCACCAAAGAATTGATGCTTTTGAATTGTGGTGCTGGAGGAGGCTCTTGAGGGTCCCCTGGACTGCAAGGAGATCAACCCTATCCATTCTGAAGGAAATCAACCCTGAGTGCTCATTGGAAGGACAGATCCTGAAGCTGAGGCTCCAATACTTTGGTCATCTCATGAGAATAGAAGACTCCCTGCAAAAGACCCTCATCTTGGGAAAGTGTGAAGGTTAGAGGAGAAGGGGAAGACAGAGGATGAGATGGATGGACAGGGTCATTGAAGCGACCAACATGAATTTGACCAAACTCCGTGAGGCAGTGAAAGACAGGAAGACCTGGCATCCTCTGGTCCATGGGTTCACGAAGAGTCGGACACGATTTAACGACTAAACAATAACAAAAGAGAGAATGGAGGGACCCACCCATCACTGCCCTCATTGGGCAGAAGATAAAACACGCCCACTGCTACCCCGCAGCATTCCGAGACTGATATCCGGAGCTGTACCTAGATGTTGCAGGCATCTGGGGCTTCTCTACACTATTGGTTAATCTTGCTTCAAGTGAGATCAGTGTACATGAGAAGAGGATGAAACAACAGAGAGGAACACCTGGCTCTGAGTACTTGAATGCCATCTTAAACCTCCTTGTTTTGTGTTTTCTTCTACCTGGGGAGGACTAGCTGCAGGCAATGTGCACGTTCAGGGTGGGTGTACATGAGAAGAGGATGAAAGAACAGAGAGGAACACCTGGCTCTGAGCACTTGAATGCCATCTTGGTTCCATGCTTACCCTCGTTGCTTTGTGTTTTCTTCTACCTGGGGAGGAGTAGCTGCAGGCAATGTGCACGTTCAGGGTGGCTGGGCTCAATCTCTTCCAGGAGCAAATACCAATGGCTGGGTCCATGCCATTACATCAGTAAATGTTCACGCCTTCTCAATTTTGGCCCTTTGGGCCAAAGCCCAAGTCAATCTTCCTGTGAAGAACGTCTAAAAGGCTGTAGTAGCACCTTAATGAACATTAAAGCACCTTGGTCAGAGAATTGGGTTGAGTCAATCTTTGACACCAATGGGCTGGTGGGAGAGGAGGTAAAATGCCAGAAAGCTTGATAGATTATTAGTCATCACCATGTGGGAGAGATAATATGGTTCCCAAGGTTGGTGTGTTCCATTTCTAAGCAAAGCGGTACATTGGCCTATGGTGATGCCTTGATAAACTGCCGTAGCATAAATGCAAAGAACATAGTCTTCTAGAGCAATGGTTCCCAACATCTTGGGTTCCCAGATGTTCTTGGACTGCCACTCCCAGAAGCCTTTGCCAGCATAGCTAGTGTTGAAGGCTTCTGGGAGTTGCAGTCCAAGAACATCTGGGGACCCAAAGTTGGGAATCACTCTTCTAGAGAGTTCTGAGGAAAACTCAGTTTGATTGGTCAATGGTGGTCAACCAAGGGGTGGGTGGAAAAGAGAACAAAAATAGTAAAATCTCTCAATACAAGGGGACTCTTTACCTGGAGATTCAGCATGTTAATGCTGTTGGAAAGAAAGAACACTCTGTATTAGCTCAGAAAACTCACTTTAGTAGTATATCATTAGGACTTACTAGATTGCTTCTTATATTCCTGGGTGGATATTTTCTATACCTATTTCCCTCTTTTTAACTGGTGATTCTTTTATTCCATAATTAGCTTATTGATTTCACAGCATTTCTCTCTCTCTCTCTTTTATTTTATTTTTTGCTGTTCGGCTTTTCCAACAACAAATCTTGCTGGCATCTTTTGTAGTATGAAAACTAACTGTTTCCTCATGAAACCTTCAAATGTGCACCTTCAAGATGGATTTTCTGCTCTGTTGTTTTTAAATGTATTTTTGCTATTGATTTTATATATCATTTTTAATGTAAGGCTTGTTTAATTCTTTTTTAAAATATCTATCTGGTTACTGCTTTTAGTTTTTTAACATTGCCTTTTTAATGATGTAAACTGCCTTGGGTCCTTTTAAGGAGAAAGGTGGGGTGAAAATATTTTAAATAAATAAAATCTGTACATCCATACATAAATACATGAGGAAATAAATGCAATTCATATAAATGGGAAAAAACAAAACATTTTGTGTGTCTGGAACTCTGCTAATATTTTGGAAAGTGAGGGTCTTTTTTGAACATCTAACTAGATCTGGTTCAGACACCTATTAAAATCCTACAAAACTATTTCTTCAGATATCACTGAGATTAGAAAAATATACTTTTTTTTGGTAGGTGGCTGGAATGCATTGATGTTGTTTAGAAATTACTCTGCCCACATTTATAGAACATTATCCCTGCCTTCGCCCTCAATTTCCAGCGCCCGTCGCCATGTTACATTCCCTCACACCTTTTGTATGTTCTCCCACTCAGCCTATATTCTAAAAACGCCATTCAGGAGAGACACCATTTATTACAACCAAGGGAACGAGGATGTAAAAGAATCTTCTTCAGCATCCCCCTCCCCTTTTTTTTGTGAAAAGCTGGTGGATCTCATTAACTCTCTGGCAAATCTGCCACCCTCTTCTCCCGACATAAAAGGAGAAAAATCCCCCCCAAAAAGGCACTTCAGTTGTAGATTTTTTCCTTTTCCTTTCTGCGATTTGGAGACTCAACGAACAAGAACCGAAGTCTAATAGTGTGCCACTCCTCTCCCATCTATCCTGGGGAAGTCTTTGGAATGCATGCAGAAGGGGGAAAAAAAGGTTCTGGACAGGTTGGTTTCTCACCTCAGATGGAACTGAGCATTGTTTATTTTCAGAAAAAACAACGAGTGCAACCTATTAAAAAAGGATCATGCAAAGGCATAATATTAGCACAGGGCTTCTCCCGCGGGTACAACTTAATGAAACAAAACATGGACAAGCATTTGTGAGCAGACAACGCAGCAGTGAAACAAAACCAACCATCCTCAAGCATCTTACTAAACAGTCCCTAGATTATGCAAAAAAATAAATCAATGCCATTTTCCTGGTTTCTTGTCAGCTCTTGCCCTAGCGAAGAACCTGTCCTTCTCTGCCTTATGGCCACAGAAGAGAACATCCTTATTTAAAAACCCTTCAATGAATGTGATCAGCTAATACTTGTGAGTCCTCAGAAGAAGCAGTGATGGCATCAACAACTAACTATCTAGTACTCTTAACTCTCTCCCAACAGGGTGCAAATATGTAGGATTTTTAAAAACATGACACTGAACAATGGCATGGCTGAATCCATTTCTGTGATTAAGGAAGAAAATCAGAAAGAAGGTTGTAACCCTCAAACATGTGTGAGAGAGCTGATGACTGAGGCCATGAGCCAGAGATCTCATCTTCTAGATCTTAAGGGGAATGGATATAACCCTCATATTAACCAGTTTTCTCTCCTATAACATGATTTCCTCAGCCAGAAGATTTCTCAGCAATCCGACTGGCAAATTAAGCCCAGGTTTACCTTCCATCGACCAATTACAAAACAGAGCACGCTAAATACAAGATACACCGTTGAGAAAATCATGTGCTATGACCAATGGCTGTACAGTATTTCAACAGTGGGGGAAGCACTTCTTCTCGAAAGATGCTAAATACGTCATCTAGTTTGACTCTTGGACATAGTGCTTGTTTTCTTCACGGTAGTCAAAAGCATCACCTTCAAAAGGCAAGGGAGGAGGGTGGTTGTAGTACCCCATCAAGAAAATCCATAAGGTGCCGAGGGTCAGAATTGGCGTGACCAAAAGTAAACCAAGGTGGTCCACTGTGGCAGCAATGAGGTTCCAGTTGTCTTTCTCCTGCAAAGGAAAAATGTGTTAAAAACACAGGGTTGGAAGCATGCAAGAGGTCACAAAATGCTGTCTTCCAGACACACGGACGAGGAGAATCGTTCCTCTTGTTAACCTTCTCTTTCCCTGGTCAGGCCATGCAATCCACAGCGAGCAAACATATTAAGGAGTGTTACTACTGCTGGATTGCATAATAAATAACACAAAAAGAAAAGGTAGTTTTCACAGCTTGTCTGAGATGTCCCAGAACCGGATGCCAAAGAGGGCAGGGGTCCCTTTGGAAATCTTTTTTTTTGGAATAAGAATAAGAAACCAGAAGGAGAATGAATGGAAGGCAGAGGAAGAGAAAATGCTCAGTCTACCAGGTACAAACATGTCATTAGATCTCCCCCACCCCAGGAGAAAAATACGTGTTGAAAAGGAGGCTGTCCTGCTTTTGACACATCATGAGAAGCCAGGCCTTTCTGGAAAAGACAATGATGCTGGAAAAGGCTGAAGGCAGCAGGGAAAGAACACCAGATATGAGACTGACCAACTCCCTTAAAGAATCATAGAAATCATAGAAAAGTGAAGTTGGAAGGGGGCCTACGAGGCCATCAAGTCCAACCCCGTGCTCAAGGCAGGAATGCCCTCAAAGCAGATCTGCCAGGTGATTATCTTAGGTTTTTCTGGAATGCCTCCATGGTTGGAGCACTCACCCACTCCCGAGGTCACTGGTTCCATTGTCGTACTGCTCTAGCAGTTAGGAGGTTTTTCCTGATATTCAGCTGAAATCTGGCTTCCTTTAACTTGAGCCCATTGTTGCATGTCCTGCACTCTGGGATGATCGAGAACAGATCCTGCCCCTCCCCTGTAGGACAGCCTTTCAAATATTTGAAAAGTGCCATCCTATCACCCCTCAGTCTTCTTTTCTCAAGGCTTGACATGCCCAATTCTTTCAGCCTTTCCTCACAAAGCTTGCTTTCCAGTCCCCTGATCAGTTCACCCGGCCCTGGAGAGTTGGACTTGTTCAAGGTGGTAAGGTAAAGTATTCCTTGACTATTTGTTTATCTGTCTCCAGCTGCAATCCTGTCTCCCGCTGCCCCCCACTTCCAATTTGTTTGGAAGCTCATCATCTGTTTTATGGGAAAAGACTGAAGTAAAATAGGACTTCAGCCCCTCTGCCTTTTCTTTGTCCTCTGTTATCATTTTCCCATCTCCATTGCGGAGCTGTGCCACTCTGTCTTTCGTCTGTCGTCACGTACGTGAAGAATGATTTTTTTTATTGCTTTTAATGTCTCTAGCTAACCTCAGCTCATTCTCAGCTTTTGCCCTCCTAAGACCATCCCTGCATTTCCTTGCTACTTGTCTGTACTCTTCCTTGGTGGCCTGGCCTTCTTTCCACTTCCTGTACATGTCCTTTTTTTGGTTTTTAGGTCTTTCCTAAGCTTTTTGTGAAGCCACATTGGCCTTTTTTGCTGCCTCCCACCTTTTTTTTTTCTTATTGGAATTGTTTGTAGTTGTGCCTTTAATTTTTTT